TGACTTACAATAAAATACACAGACAACATAAAACCAAACACCATTAAATCTAGACCTGCTTTGTCAAATACAGTAGCCACTGGCCACCACATGTGGCTACTGAGCACTTGAAATGTGACTAGTCTGAAATGTGACTAGTCAGCGTGCTTGGCCACAATGAGTGGAGTAGCCTCTTTTTCCCTGCCTTGCCACTGCTGGTCTACAGATTCCACTTGTCTTCTGGGGTTCAAGACAGAGCCCTTTCCTGTCTGTCTACCTTCCCATCATCTGACCTTGTGTGCATCACTTCTTTTTCCAAAGCTTCGCTTTTAGAAAAATACCATGTGCTTTGGGCACACAGTGTAAAGTATTCCTATTCAAAGTGTGACCTGTGTACCAGCAGCATTGGCATCCCCTAGGGAAATGTTAGAATTTGCATTTTAACAAGATCCCAAGTGATTCCATGCTTGCAAGTTTGAGAAGCAGTGATATAAAGCACCAGTTAACATGGATAAACACAGGAGGAAGCCAACTTTTGGGGGAGGAATTTTTTAATATGGAATCTCTCGTTAGGATAGAGCCTGGTCCAGGAGAGGAAAGGTAGAGTGTAAGATTGGTGCCAGCTCTGAATATAACTTGTTTCCAAACTTGTTGCCCCAGGCACCATCTGGGAAAGGTTTTCAGAATTTGGAGTCAAGAGTATTTAATCTCTGTTTTGTTTTTACCAAGAGGACCTAGGTTAGTCATAAAATCTCTATAATTAGGAAATGCTGCAACATTTCAATGGTAATTTATACACATTACTCTTAGAGTAATCAAAAGGTCAACTTACTGCTGTCTCCATTTTTTTACCATTGCACCATACATCCATAGTGTCTTTTTCTGAAAAAGTAGCATAAATTTTTACAAGTTATAATTCTATGAAGTAAAGATAAAGTTAACTTTTCAGAATTATGATTTTAGAAAAAATCTGATACACTGGATTTAAAAAATTTGATATACTGGATTTCCAAAACTCCATTAATATTCCAAAACTCCATTAATATTCCAAAACTCAACCCTTTTTCATGGCTTTGAAACTCTCCTAAAGTTTAAAGAAGATGTGTTTATTCTTTGTTCACAGACAAAAATCAAAACGAAACAAAACCACCCTTTAAGAGAAAGTCATGGTCCCAGTAGAAATTGATGAAGAGTTATCAAACAAAATAAGTACTGAAGGACAATCTTTAAAGGAGGATGAATACAAATGAAAGTGAGGAAGGAACTTTCTACACAAAATGTCCTTTAATATCAATGAGTAGATGATTCCCACTGCCTCCCACACTAACCCAACTGGACGATGGCACAGAAAAATCACCAAAAAAAGCTACCATAAGGTTCATATAGGATAAACAGTATGTCAGGTTTAGAAACTTAGTTTTCAGTTTCCTACTGGATGTCACAATAATCTCTATTCATTTTTATAATGGTTTCACTTTGGAGAAAAATAATTGGATGATAAGAAAAAAAACAGCTATAGATGGTGGACTGCACAATATGGGACAATATAGAACAAAATGCTGCCACAACACACTTTTGCATCAGTTAATTTGCCATAGCTCATCTCAGAGTGGGGGAGTCTCCAAGGCCCCCCACGAGTGTTAGTGTCCTGGGGAGTCAGGAGGGACCACTGAACAAGAAGCCAGAAGATGAGCTTTGGGTATTATAACAAGGAGGAGAGAGAAGTGTGACCTGTATGTGTGCGAGGAGTGCAAGGGTCAAAAACCTGCCTGGGGGTCAAGTCTGAGGAACCAGTCAGGGAGTTGATTCTGGCGGGCCATCTGCTCCAGGAGCACAGTCTGAAGGGGATTCTCTTCTCCCCACTCTTGAAATGGAGCCTCACTTAGTGGAGAAAAACCTCTGAGATGGTCTAGACGAAAATAGAGAAAGGCAGAGGGGTCCAGGAGATATGGGCAGAGGCCACCACATGGCAGCCTGAGTAGGAAGCATCTATAAAACCCAGCTTGTCTTAACACATGATCAAAGCACATAGCACTAAGGTAAACCACAACAGTGGTGAAAACTGGCACTTTATTTGGTATGCCTACTGAACATGTGCACACACTCAAATTTTTTATAATAGCTTATCGGCATGCCTCTAAGAAACACTACTAATCCAGAAGCAATAAAATATAAATTCCATAAAAGTAAAAAACACTTCTGCATGATTGAAAAAAACCATGCACACACATAAGCAGTGTCATACAATAAATGATAAATTGGGAAAAAAATATTTGAAACTCATGGCACAAAGGACTAATCTTACTAATATAAAGACTTCTAGAAATCAAGGAGAAAAAGAGCCACACACAAAAGAAAAGGGCAAAGGACATGAATAGGCATCATCAGAAAAGAAACACAAATGGACCTTAAACATAAGAAAAAATGCTCAACTTCCTCAGTTTTAATAAAGGTAAATGAAAACAACATTGAAATGTCATTTTTCACCTAGCAGAATGTCAAAAAATCCAAATGTTTGGTAACATGCTCTGTTGGAGAACTTGGGAAGAAACAGCTAGTGAGAGTACAAAATGGTAAATGTACCATGGAGGGCAACTGGGCAAAAATCTATTAAAATGGCAAATACAATTATTCTAGAAATCCTACTTTCCCACTTCTAGAAACTTGTACTAAAATAACATGTGCACTGTATTCTAAGAGGCATGTGAATGAAGCTATTCAATTCAGCATTGCTTCTAACAGCAACAAATTAGAAACATCCCAAGGCCAATCAGTTGCGAATGAGTTAAATAAACTATTTATTATTGAAATTTACTCTGTAGCTATAAAAAGTATGAAGTTCTTCATGTACTGATATAAAGGATCTTTAGAATATACTAAGTGAATAAACAACAGAGAATAGAAGCTACTGAAACAAGGCTTTCAACAATTCTGAGAGAAAATGATTTTGAAGTTAAAACTCATACTCAGCAAAAATATCAATTTAGCATGAGGGCCAAGTAATGTTTATTTTCTAGACGCCCTTTATCAGGAAATTACATAAGGATGTATTCCAGTAAACAAATATGAAACTGAGAGTGGTGGGTTCCACAAGTGGAGGAACCAAGGAATTCAGTGAAAGAAACCCAGGATGGGCCACTGTGCAACAGACTTGGAACCTACCTGCTTTCAAACAGGAAGGCAACACACTCCTGAGAATACTGTTGTTAAGAATGGAAAGAATGCCAAGCAACAGAGAACATGAGTAAAAATGCTAACAGACCTTAGGAATATGGGCAGAGAAAAGATAGGTATCAACTTCCAATAAGAAAAAAAGAAAGCCAATCAAGAAAGCCTGAAAAACAAAAAACTGTAAAAAAAAAAAAAAAAAAAATCCTGGTCCACCCAAGAGGCAAACTAAGATGGGGTATAATTTAGAGTAACTGGTAGATTATAAAACAAAAACCCATTTGATCTTGACACTAAAAACAACTTCCTTCCCCACACTGAGAAGAAAGTTCTGGGAGGAGAAACCAAGTTGAGTGGCACAGGGGGTATGGTAATAAAATAGAAAAAGAATGTAATAGCCCACTGTAAAAATATTTAATCACAATATAAATGTTATTTATTGGTTTTTAGTTTTTGAATCCACCTACAGAAAAAAAACAGAAGACTTCATTATGCCTATAGAACAAAATACATATATTAACTACTTTGACAATGTAAAAGAAAAGGTAGAGGAGAGAGTTGGGAGATGGTAAAGGTGGGTGAGGAGAGGCAGGGGGAAACTGGAATGTTTATAGCCTCATCTTACACAATGGAGGATGAAGTAATTTAAAAGTTGATGAGGGGGCCGGCCCCGTGGCTCACTCGGGGGAGTGCGGTGCTGGTAGCGCCGAGGCCGCAGGTTCGGATCCTATATAGGGATGGCCGGTGCACTCACTGGCTGAGCATGGTGCTTACAACACCAAGCCAAGGGTTATGATCCCCTTGCCGGTCAGGAAAAAAAAAAAAAAAAAAGTTGATGAGGAAGATGGTGGTAGGGACAAGTAGCAGCATGATTTTTTAGTTTCCCCAAATTCCCCCTCCCCCCCATTAAAACAGACAGGGCAACAAAACAAAGCCAAAAACCCATGAGCAGTATCTACACCACAAACTCTCCCAAATACTAATAGGTGGGGGAACTATGGACAACTGTAAGACCTGTATGGTATCAGCCACTGTGTGGAGGGAAGGAGAGAGACACAACAGGGTCTCTGCTGGAGGTAAGAATCCCAAAACAGCTTTCCCACTTCTAACTGGAGAGCTGGGAGGGCCAATTTGTGAAGCACAGCTGAAACTGGAAGCAGGTCTGTGCAGGGGTCTGAAAGGGCTAAAGCAGTCTTCGCCCCATGAACCCTCAAAACTAACGAGCCGAAGCTCTCTTCCAGCACAAAACCCCACATTGAGAAGAAACTTCTGGGAAGAGAAGCCAAGTTGAGCAGCCCAGGGACAACAGAGTAAAGGAAAGAGAAAATCCAAGAAAAAGTAGGGGAGGAAAACACAGCAGGCAGCTGTATGATTTTTAAACATTATTCAAAAACAATAGAAAAGAGAATTCCAGAATCTGAAGTTTAAAAAGCTATCCAAAACCACACTTCTTTCTACAAATTCAGGAAAACCAATTTCATGTAAAAATGAGCAAAGAAGACCACTGAGCTCTAACTCCATTTAAAAAAAATATGAAAAAAGAACAGACTACTATCATTAGAGATAATAAAAGCATAAGAAAGACATGCCTGCAAAACAGATAAAAACCATAACATACTATTTCAAAATCAGCTAAAGAAATTAAGAAAATCATAAAAGATATGAAATAACAACATAATAAGAATTAGAAAAACTCTGAGAAATGAATAGAACTCAGTAAAGAAATAAAAATCAATTCAGAAATGAAGACTAAACTAAAAGGAACACAAAGCAAATAAACACAACAAATAATTCCATAAGAGAAGATTTAAGGAGGAGAATTTTTAAAAGCAAGAAATAAAGATAAAAAGACAAGCCACAGACTGGGAGAGAATATTTGTAAAACACATTCTAATAAAGGATTATTATCCAAGATATACAAAGAACTTTAAGACTCACCAATAAGAAAGCAAACAACCTGATTTAAAAGTTGTCAAAAGAGCTGCACAAATACCTCCAAAGAGTATATATATAGATGGCTAATAAGCATATGAAAATATGCTGAACACTATGTGTCGTGAGGAAACTGCAAATTAAAACAACACCTTTTGGAAGGGCTAAAATCCAGATCGCTGACAACAGCAGATGCTGAAAAGAATACAGAGCAATGGGAACTCTCATTCATTGCTGCTGGGAATACAAAATGGTACAGCCACTTTGGAAGACAGTTTGGCAGTTTCTTACAAAGCTAAACACAGTCTTACCATATCATACATCAATCGAGGTCCTAGGTATTTACACAACTGATTTGGAAACTTACATCCACATAATGTTTACAACAGCTTTATTCATAATTGCCAAAATTGGAAGCAACCAAGATATCTTCAATAGGTAAATGGATAAACAAACTGTGGTACATCCACACAATGAAACATTATTCAGCAATAAAAAGAAATGAGCTATCAAGCCATGAAAAGACATGAGGAAACCTAAATGTATCTTGTCTAGTGAAAGAAGTCAGTATGAACAGGCTACGTACTTTATGATTCCAACTACATGACATTCTGGAAAAGGCAAACTACAGAGAGAGTAAAAAGAGAAGTGGTTGCCAGGGTTGAATAAGTAGGGCACAGGGGATTTTTTAAGGCAGTAAAACTGGTGTGTATGATACTGTAATGGTGGATATACAACATTATGCATTTGGCAAAATCCATAGAACTATATACAAGGTAAGA